TTTTTTGCCATGAATATATATTTCATATTTATTAATAAACTAATTAACTAAAAATTATAATTAAATTCATAAAAATGTAAAAAGTAAAAATTAGTTAGTCAAAAACATCATACCTCTTTTTATTTTTCCATGAATATATATTTCTTAAAAAAATACAACACACAAAAGAAGTAAAATACATAAAAATTATTGATTAAAAATATTAAATAAATTTGCAACTTAAAAAATTAGAGAAATATATAGAATTTAAATATTAGAATAAAGTAAATGTACTTAAATTTAAAAGATTTACCTCCAAATTGATTCTCCAATTTTTGATAAATTAAATCCTATAAAAATAAATGAATATCATTAGTAGAAGAAAAGAAAAAAACATTAGGAAAGGAAATGTTAAAATAAATCAAAAGAAATTAGAAGTGAAAGGAAGGAAAGAAAAGAATTTAATAATTAGAAAATGGGTGGTGCTATTCGGATAACTTTTTGTCCCATCTTTTTATATAATTTTCACATGTCATTAAACGAGTAAATGTATTCAATATTACGAATTCCACATAAATTAAAAAAATTAATTATTTTAATGACACATCAAGTTGTATAAAAAGATAAGACAAAATAATTGTCCAAATAGCATTTCCCTAAGAAAATATAGAAGTTTGGCTAAAAAATATATATATATATATATATATATATGAGGGAATTAATTATTTGTCATAATGTGTGACGGGCAAATGGGATTTTCCTTCACCATGGGAAGTAAGGAAATCAATTATGATATCGAACTCTTGATTGATGAAGTGTATGTATTTACAGTGATAATTTATATACATATATATCATATTTTTTTATAGTGATAATTTTTTTTATATATAGAGATTATAAATTAAATTTTAAATTTATAATTAAAATTACAAGTAGGCTTATCACTAAACCACAAAGTTATGCACCGGCCCTTAAGGCCTAGTGGCATAACCACAGTGCATTCCCTCGGCAGGGTTCAAAAACCTGCCCTTGCAAAATACGTTCAAAAAAAAAAAAAAAAAAAAACTAAACCACAAAGTTATGGTGGGGATGAAGTACGCTTGACCTAGATACTACTACAAGCTTGGTTGGCACTACTAAGGCATTAAATATCAATGAAATAAATGGAAGCAAGAGACTAAGTGGAAAGAAGAGAACCTTATCAACCACAGACACACGATATGTAGACAATCAAAGCATAGGAAAGTGTGGTTGCCATGAATGCTATTCAATGCTCTCACCATCTACCATACCTACATCCATAAATAAGTAGTGGCATGCTACAACTGCAACCGATCGACCAAAGAAAGAACTCAGCAGCTATAACCTCCGGAAAAAGAAGGAAAAAAATAAGAGATATAGAAGTGATGGAGAAGAGACTAAAGGGAAGCGATGGTGCAGCTGTGGTAGCCTCTCCGGCCGCGCTGATGGGATCGAGAGATGATTATGATGAGATGGGTGCCAGCATGCGTACGGCCGAGACCTTACTGCGTCTGGTGCCGATGGCTTTGTGTGTCTCTGCGCTTGTAGTTATGCTCAAAAACTCTCAGTCCAATGAGTTTGGCTCACTCTCTTACTCGGATCTTGGAGCTTTCAGGTACTTACTTTAATTGATCCCTTGCATGCATTTCCTAGCTAGGTGGGAACTGCGTTTCCTTCTTTCTTTAAATAGGTAGAGGATCAATTTTAGTGCTTCACTATTGCAATCTGCAAACTACATTTAGAAAATGAATATTGGCAGTCTATATAGATTCAAAAGAAAGATCCTAGGGGTGGCGACCCCTGAAATTTGAAATTCTTACAAATTAATATATGAAAAATGATTTCGTTTCTCTGAAATTTAAAAATTTTATAAATTAGTATATAAAAACTTACCTCGTCCCCTAAAAAAAAAATTTTGGCTCCGCTCGGCATAGAGTGAGTGGAGGGTAGTAACCCCTCCACCTACGCCACGAGGGATCTATCCCTTGAACTGTGTCTCAATTCCCCTCCCCAATTATCCCATTTCCCCGAAACGAAGAAAAGGTTCAAAAGAAATTCCTTTTTCTTTTCCTTTCCTAATACCACCTTAAGATAGAAATGTGAATATAATTAACTATTATATAATTGTCACTAATAACTTGTAATAAAGAAGCTTCATTTTTGATATCATAATAAGAAGATTCAAATTTCATAAAGACAATCACTACGGTTCAATCTCTTGCATTATCGTTTTTCCTTTTCCTAATTTCCTCACGTTCAGAAAGAGAAAAATGAAAACAAAAGATGATGAATATGCATCTTTAAAATTTTCTATTAATTTGCATCCATTACAAACATTATTAGTAGATAGAGAATTAGAGATGTTGACAATCTGCATCTTTGCAGATACATAGTGCATGCAAATGGCATTTGTGCTGGTTATTCTCTCCTTTCAGCTGTCATCGCTGCCATACCTCGCTCCTCCACCATGTCGCGAGCTTGGACCTTCTTCTTTCTCGATCAGGTCAATTTAACTTCCACGGTTCCACAAGTTCAGACATGAAACTTTCCAACTTATTTTTCTTAAATTCATGAAATCTTCAGTCTATATATTTTCTCATCATCCAGATCTTAACATACCTAATTCTGGCTGCGGGTGCGGCGTCCACGGAGGTGCTATACCTGGCCTACAAGGGAGATGAATCCATCACCTGGAGTGCAGCCTGTGGATCATTTGGGGGATTCTGTTACAGGGCCACGGCAGCTGTAATCATCACGTTTGTAGTAGTTGTTTTCTATGGAGTGCTTTCTCTGCTCTCCTCTTACAAGCTTTTCAGCAATTACGACGCCCCTGTTGGCTACACCAGCAAGGGAATTGAGATTGCAGCCTTCCATGGTTGATTAATTACATGTGTTTTTGGTTAATTTCTGCTTTAGTTAATTGGCTATAATATGTGTGTGGTAACGTAAAAGACATGAAAAAACGAGTCCAGGTTAAAACTTGGACATTAGCAAATAAAGTTAATATATATATTTTTATAAATATTGCATAGTTTTAGTAAGATGAAAAAAGTTTGCATTCTATTTATGCAACACCATATAGGTTAAAGAAAGAAATTTAAAATAGTAAAAAGATAGATTAAAAATGGGTTTGTCTAAAGCAGATGTTAAGAAATTATTAATTGAATTTTTTAATTAATTTATAAAAA